CAGGAATGCATCTTAGAATCCCAGCTTCACTGAGAGCATGTTTGTCTTGTGCTTTTGTCCATGGACTGTGCTGTTGTAACTCAAACATTTTTAAATTACCACCTGGTATTTGGAAGCAAAGCACGCTGAAGGCACTGATATGTTTTATCATACCTAGATAGTAATAGATAGTTTTGATTAGTTCAAATGTTTGGCCTCTACATATTTTAGAAAAAAACCTAATCCCATTATTCTGTTTATAAATACTGTAATTTAAAATATGATTCTTCTCAGAATTAGTATTTTTGATTAGCATATTGACTGTATGTTGACCATAATTACCATGTCATGTTACTCATTCATTGCACATGCATTGTAAGGTGAAGCATGGGGTGAAGGAGAAGACTGGACATGTTCATGGAAGAAAACTCCTTTGAGAGTACTGAGTAATTCGACCTCTGGCTGAAGAGGTTCCCAAGCTGCAATGAACTGGAAGCTAAGAGAGTACCTAGGAGATGTACTCTAGGGGCATATGCTTCCCCCTTAATGAACCCTTCATTTCCTTCCTATCTGCTCTTGGCCACTGTTGGAGGCAGACTGCTGGCCTAGGTGAATCTTTTTCTAACTCCAAAAGGCCACTCTTAACTTCCTTATATTTGTATGAGGAGAGAATGCCAATACTTGTAGTCACAGCATCAACACACAGCAAATGCTTGATGGACTTAGCTCAGATTTAAGCCTCTTGATAAAAGCCAACAGTACAGAACAAAATGAATCTGAGGGAGGTTGTGCAGCCAGGTCTGGTCATGGCTTTAGGCTTATTAGTGAAGAATGGGGACTATGCAAATGGAAGTCCCTAAAAATAACTCCAGTGTATGTTAAAGCAATTGCAATGTGTTAAAAGGACTGGAATAATCAATAGAAAAGAACAAAGTCAATATAACTGACTGGAAACTTTTCATGAACCTAATCTCAGAATGAAATGGAAAGTAGGAAGCATCAAAGTGGTTGGTGGTTTGTGGAAATAATATGTGTAGGAAGGAAAATCAGAAAGAAGAACCAAGTCTCATAAGGAAAGTAAAAACCTAATGTGCGAAAACTGCCTTCATTGTGATAAAGGAATCCAGAGAGAATTGGGACGGTAGATCAATTCAAGCTGAAGTAGCTACCTAAATCAAAACTCTTATCTCTGTCATTTGCTATTAGAAACTTAAAAACTCAATTTCCTGGCCAGTTTAACTTCATTAGCAGGTAACTCATGGACTTTATCAACTGTATTGAGGGAGCAGAATCTTAAGCAGATGTCTGAGGGCAGTATGCTGAGAATGAAAAGAAATCCTTAAGGAGTGGTGTGGGAAATGGAGGCTTGCAGCTGCTGTGGTCCCTGGGGAAGGTGCTGGAGCCATAAAACTCTCTAGACGTACAGGAAGAGAAGGAAGGAATGATGGGTGGTTATAGGTAAAGGGCAGAAAGGGGAATGTTATTTTTCAGTCACCTCTGTTTAGTGAAACCTTGTGGTTGTTGATCCTCTACACAGAGCCTAATACCAGCTTAGTGCTTGTTTGTCTCAGAGTGATAGGGACACACAGAAAGTGCAGAGTCCAATACAGAACGTGGTTTACAACGTGAATTTGCACATTTGTAGCATGGAGGTAACAGTGCTACTTCAGATGTTGTGTGGTGCTTTTGAGCACTAGAATATTATTAGAAAGAGGAAAGATGAAAGAGAATCCAGGGAAGTGAAGAGGGAAGTACTAGGAGATTTGACCTCAGCTGAGGGAAAACTTGGGTAAATATGCTCTACTTCGGATTTAACCAGCAATGGGGCTGGATTTATAATCATTTGCAAATACTTAAGCCATAACATTGAATAGCAGGGATCTTTTTTTGTATAGGAAGAAAAAACAGATTATTTGTTTGCTTTCCATTAAAAAATCAGCCGGGTTTGGATTCATACAAATGGTTGCCTTTCCTCCCTTTAAAAAGGAAGCATTGTCACAAATTCATGTCATGTCCATGCATCTGAGCTTAATTCCTACGTGTAATTAATGCACATTGCATTTTTGGTCATGATCTGAATCAACTCTTGTCTTCTACACCAGCATCTTTGCATTGCAGGCATATACTGCTGGAGAAGTAGAGGGATACCACCATTTCATTTCACATGGCTACACAAGAGGTTGGTAAATTGTAGTCCCTGCCAGTGCAGGAAACGCTCTATTGCACTCTGCCAAATCTGCACACAACCTACACTCTTCAGAGATGTTTCCTGAACCATCATGCTAGGGAGGTAATGAACGACCTGTCCCAGGAGGAGGGGTTCATGCCAACTCTTCTTGTTAGAAAGAACAGTCCCTATTCTTGTGCCAGACATTTGCTGGTTTTCCATTCTGTTCCTCCAAAAATGATGTCTCAATCCAATATATTACAGTAAAATTAGAAGGCGTGGGCCTATTTTTCTCCTTAAGATGGTTTATAGATTTCTTAGTTTGGCCAGCCTAAGGTGCATTCACTAGGAATAAAGAGTACATTAACTAAAATCTGGAAGGTCTAATGAAGAGGAAAACAGTACATCATGCAAAAGGGTTAGGGGGATGTCCAGCACCCTCTTTCCATCCCATAATCAGTGCATAGTCAAAGTCAGCTGGTCTTCAGGTCAACCATTTTCTAAGCCATAAAGCCTTCAGGAAGAGAAGGTGAATTTCTTCTTGCTCCTTGCAAGCCTTCTTAGCTGACTCCTTAGCAGCCTTCTCCTCATCTTCTATGGTTTATTGCTCATTGGTGTATTGGAGTTAATTGGTTGGAAAGGGAAGCCTGAATCAAAGGCTGACAGGCAGCAGAGAAGGGCCATGCATACCCTGTATGCAAAGGAAATGAATAGAGAAAAGGAAGGATCTTGTGCACCACAGCCAAAGGTCAGGATGAAAACTGTCAGCATACAATGGACTTTCTGAAAGTAAGTTCCTGGAGTAGGCAGACATTGAGCCAGCCCACTAAGGAGTGCGGGTTTAGTTGGCCCATAGTTTATTCAAGTTGACACCCAGCTGACAGTTATACAAACTCAGTAAACTGTTAAAACAAAAAGCAAATCAAAACAAAAAGTAAAAAAACAACCCACCAGACAGACTTCAGAACTGACAGGAAGAATGTTAGAGGGCACTACTTTAATGGACAGTACCAGGATACCCCGAGGCAGAAAGTGTCGAGTCGACTAGACAGAAACATTGATAATTCATCTATGCTGTCCTATACCTGAACAGAGGTTTCAGGGCAAAGTGTATTAATAGTAAATATAAAAATGTTTAGGGACAGATTCTCAGTTGGTGTAAAATATCATAGCTCATTTGGATAGAATTGAGCAGTGATATTTCCAACAACTGGGGATACAATTCTGTATTTTTATGGAAACACTATTCCCTATGATGGCAAAGGACAACATGTGGAAATTTCTTATGTTCTGGCAGGAATGACTGATAGACAGTCTCCTGGACGCTGCAGGCTGCTGCAGAGCAGGTGAACATCCAAAGAACTGAGCTTCTGCCACAGCACCAGCAGGCACATGGGATGTGCTGTCTCCTGTGGGTTGAAGCTTCACCTCCACCCTTCCAGATCCTTAGGCAGCAGCAGTAACTGTTGGGTTATGTGCATCATGGTCCACGTGAGCACAAGGAAGGTGGTCAGCAGGCTGATGCTGTCCTGAATTCCAAGATAAGTTTCTGAAAATGCAGATAATAAAGTGAAATGACAATCTAGTTTTTATGCAAACAGTGGGAAATAGTGGAGGTAGTGGGATGCAGCTGATAAAATCTTGGACACTATAGTTATTCACAGTAAACGCCAAATTATTATCTGTGGCAGCACCACAAATATTAGCTGTACTGCTTCACATTCATGTTCACAGTCTGCATCTGTCTCTTTTTAAGGTGGCATTAATTTTTTTTTTCACCACATCAAATTTCTTCCCAGGTTGCTTTGACCTCGTAATGCTTCCATCTGTGAAAGCTGTAGAGTTCCTTCAATCTCCCATCTCCGGGGCAGGTCCTGCATATCTGTGGGACATCTGGAGATGACAAGTGCAAACTGGAGCAAAAAGGAAGGATGGGCAGGGTTATGAAGTGCAGGACCTCCGTGGCTTCCAGGAAGGTGTGGGGCTTAAAGAATCAGTGAATGGTGGCTGCTGTTACCTTGGAGCAAGAGCAGCTACAACTGTTGCTCTTCTTTTCTTCTCAGTAGAATTTTGAAATGTGAGCAACCTGAATAAGCTGTCTACTAAGTAAAAAGGAAAATAAAAAAGAATGGTAGTGTACCTTGAGGAAGCTCCTAATGCAAGGAAGAAAAACACACAGAGCTCCCCTAAACAGGAAGAAGAAGCACAAGAATATGGAGATTCTGGCAAAAGCAGAGGGGAGATGGGACATGGACTCTATCACAGCTTTCAGCAGCAACAGCCTGGGCCTCTGAGACAAGTACTGACAAGCATCTGGGTGGGACAGTTCTTTTAAGGAGGCTGTGAGGTTCTGCTGAAGGGTAGAGGAAAACAAGGTCAAGTTTCAAATTTTGGCTCTCTGAAAAGATTCATTTTCATTTTTCGGTTACTTCATAATTCCTCCTTTGGATTCTTCCTTGTACCCTGCAATGTCTACGTCTGGCCCTGAATTTGGTAACTTTAGTGTGTGCAACGAAGACATCCTGGATTTGCCTAACAAAGTGCACTCCCCTTGGTGTGGATCTCCCCAGCATCTGGGATCTGAATCACCCTTGAGTCAGAGCAACCATATTTGGTTCAAATTATGTTTTGCTGTTGTAATCCCTGAGACACTGTTTGGTACTGCTAACTTGTTTGTGTCATCTGCCCAATGAATTAGTGACTAGAAGCTTCTCTTTCAATACAAATATTTCTTGCCAGCCACTGTGGGTTTTATATGTGGGGCTGTGGGACTATTTTGGTAACAATTGAAGTCCTTCAGTGCTGCCAAATAATCTTTCCTTTATGTGGTGCAGTGTGTGGGTGAGTGAGCCATTTCTTCAGTAGCCTCCTGTAGGTTACAAGGTGCCTGGGGACACAGGGGTGCTCAGCTGTACAAAGGTCAAAGGTATAATGTTAAAATACAGTCAGATTTCAATTAATGATCCTGAAACCAAAAGACAAAAAAGAAAAATGCATTTAATGTCTAGAGGATTTGCATGCTGTCAATCTTTAATTAAGATATCTGAGATAAAGGTCACCCTTGCAAGACAAGGCAGCAGAATGGGCACCTTGTGAACAAGGAGCTGTGTGAGAGCAAAGGGCACCTGGACTTGCAACAGCACAATCCAGGACTGGAGGTTTCACTTCAGACACAGGGCAGCTGGAGGAGAGCAATGCTTTGGGCTGCTCCTGCTCCTGGGCTTTTAGTTGTGTTCTTCTTACTTACTGGATTGAGCTGTGAATCGAACCACCATGAAAAGAAGAGGCAGAAAAGAGCAACTTATGATGAGCAGTAAGTACCATTGCTTGCAAATGCTTTTGTTCGTATGGTGGCCTCTAAGTTCCAGTAATGGGAACAGAATGGCTTTACTGTAGCTCTTTTTTACATACTCTTTGGCAGATATGTGAAACTAAATGATCTTTCTTTTTTTTTTCCCATGGTACAGGCCTCGTTTGTCCTCAGAGCAGGGTAATTTAGTGTTCCATGCTGGCTCCAGCAAAAATATTGAATTTAGAACTGGACCACTGGGGAAAGTAAAAATTAATGAAGAAGACCTTGCAGAGCTTTTTAGCCAGGTGACATAGTTACTTTTCCTTAATATATTTTAATTTTTGGTTTTGCACATTAACAGTTAAATTGTCTTTGCAAGTATTTGATGTGTCTTGTATGACTGCATTTTATATTATCTATATCAGTAGTAGTCTAATATGAAAGTAAGCTATTGCAGAGTGGTAAAGTAATCATGTCATTGCAGAAGATAATTAAAAGATTAAATTGCGTATGTAGCAGAGCTCTCTGTATTTAAGTGGACTTTATGATAGTAAAGTCATGCAAGGACAAAACTTTCCTGAGCATTTGAAAAAGCAAAGTTTGTTTCACATTATTTCTGTTGTTTAACTTTAGGTGAGAGAAAGTAATGCAGAGATTCAAGAACTTAAAAAAGCCCATGGTGCCTCTCAGAACGTGTCCCAGCAGATTGTTCTGCTGACCTCCAAGGTAAGCCATACCCTCATGTTATCCTCCATCATTCCCAGTTTTCTATTCCACTCACTAACATTAACCAACCTAATTCATTTTAGTATTTCTGGACTCCAGGGAAGTGGAGCGGAGTCCACATTTCATAAATGTTAAGGGGTGGGGACACATTCCACTAGCCCAGGTTGTTTAAGACCCTATCCAACCTGGCTTTGAGCACTGCCAGAGTTGAGGCATCCACAACCTCTCTGGGCAACCTGTTCCAGTGTCCCACCACCCTCACAGTAAAAACTTTCTTCCAATTTTCTAATCTAAGTTTCCCCTCTTTCAATGTATAGCCATTACTTCTTGTCCTATCACTACAGTTCCTAACAAAGAGTCCCTCTCCAGCTCTCTGTAGCCCCTTCAGATACTGGAAGGTTGTTATGAGAGCACCACTAAATCTTCTCTTCTCCAGGCTGAACAGCTCTAACTCTCTCAGCCTGTCTTTGCAGGGGAGATGCTCCAGTTCTATTATCAGCTTTGTGACCCTCCTCTGGACTTGCATCCAACAGATTCATGTCCTTATGTTGGGGATGCCAGAACTGTATGCAGTACTCCAGGTGGGGTGTCACAAGAGCAGAGTAGAGAGAGAGTATCACCTCCCTCGACCTGCTGGCCACACATCTTTTGATGCAGCCCAGGACATGGTTGGCTTTCTGGGCTGTGAGCACACATTTCTGGCTCATGTTCAGTTTTTCATTAACCATCACCCCCAAGTCCTTCTCTGCAGGCCTGTTCTCAGTCAATTCTTCACCCAGCCTATAGCTGTGCCTGAGATTGCTGTGACCCAGATGTAGGACCTTGCACTTCACTTTGTTGAACTTCATGTTTGCATTGTTCCACCTCTCAAGCCTGTCAAGGTCCCTCTGGATGATCCATCCCTTCCCTCCAGCATGTCTACTGCACCACACAGCTTGGTATGACCAGCAAACATGCCAAGGGAGTACTCAATCCCACTGTCCACTGTCACTGACAAAGATGTAGAATAGTATCATCCCCAGCACCAACCTCCGAGGGACACCACTCGTCACTGGCCTCCACATGGACAATGAGCCATTGAACACAATTCTTTGCATAAGAACATCCAGCCAGTTCTTTATCTGCTGAGTGGCCCATCCATCAAGCCCATGTTTCTTCAATTTAGAGACAGGGATGTGTGTGGGACAATGTCAAATGCTTTGCATAAGTCCAGGTAGATGATGTCCGTTCCTCTGCCCCATTCACCAGTGTTGTAGCCACATCATTGGAGGTCATCAAATTTGTCAGGCATGATTTGCCCTTTGTAAATCCATGTTGGCTGTTACCAATCACCCCTTTGTTTCCCATGTGCCTTAGTAGTTTCCAGGAGAATCTGCTACATAATCTTGCCTGGCACAGAGGTAAGACTGACTGATCTGCAGTTCCCCAGGTCATTCCCTTTCCCCTTTTTAAAAATGAGGGTTATATTACCCTTTTCCCAGTCCTCAGGGACTTGACCTGACTGCCATGATTTTTCAAAAATGATGGGTAGTGGCTTAGCAGCTTTATCTGCAGCTCCCTCAGGACTCACAGATGGATCTCATTGGGTCCCATGGACTTGTGCACATTCAGGTTCCTTAGATGATCTCAAACCTGATCTTATCCTACAGTAGGCTCAGGGTCTTCATTCTCCGGGTCCTGGCATTTGCCTTTCTTGACTTGGGCAGCATGGCTAGAGCATTTGCTGTTGAAGACAGAGGCAGAGAAGTCACTGAGAACCTCAGCCTTCTATCTGTCCAGGGTAGCGAGGTCTTCAGACCTTTCCTTCCAGAGGGGGCCCATATTATCCCTAGTCTTTCTTTTGCTTGCAGCATATCTATAGATGCCCTTCCTATATATCCCTTAATATCCCTTGCCTGATTCTATTCTGTCTGGGCCTTGGCTTCCCTAACACTATCCCTAGCTTCTCATACAATTTCCCTGTATTCCTCCCAGGCCACCTGTCCTCATTTCTACCTCCTGAAAGCTTCTTTTTTTCCCCCTGAGTTTGCTCAGCAACTCCTTGTCCATCCATGGAGGCCTCTTGGGATTTTTGCCCAATTTCGTCCTTGTTGGGATGCATTGCTCCTGAGCTTGGAGGAAGTGATCCTTGAAAATCAGCCAGCATTCTTGGGCCCCTCTGCCCTTTAGGGCCCTATCCCATGGGACTCTACCAATTAGGTCCTTGAAGAGGTCAAAGTCTGCTCTCCTGAAGGCCAGGGCAGTGAGTTTGCATGAGTTTTAACAGCAGCTTGGAGTCTGTTTAATTGTGAGATACTTATGCAGAAACTCTGGAGACAATGGAAATATACCTGTAAATACCCCCATAATTTCCAGTTACAGTGGTTCTTCTTTTGTTCATTGTCAACATCTCTACAGACTATATCCCCTAATATTCATGGCAGTGTAATCCCACTATATACTGAAAAGGGATAATGTATGTTTTTGTAACTGTTACACAGACATTCCATTCCATAGGTGACATGGGCAATAGGGGTTTGAAGTGAAAGAAAAGACCTGTGCAGTAGTTTTCTCTCTTTACTTCTCCTGGGAATTTTATTTCAACAGAAGATTTTGAAACCGCTGTCTCATTTAAGTATCTTTTGTTACAGTGTTTCCACAAGTTCTTTATAGGAAAATATTTCGTAGTCTAAGAGACCTCCCTTTAGGGAAATTGTGCCAACATGTATCCGTCATATTTCCTGATGCAGTGTCAGCTTGCTGTGATATGGTGATCCTTTTCTTGGCTTTGGCAAACTGTGCCAGACCCTCATCCTTGCCTTCAGGAATACTCACATTCTTGGTGTGGAGCACCTCAATACATCTTTGCAAGACTGAGTCTTCCTTTTTGGAACCAAACTGAGATAAATTTAAGCTGTCATTTTCTGAACAGCCTAACCCACCAAAATCCCAGTGAACGGGGTCTGATTTCAAACTGATTGTTACCTGGCTTCACATACCAGCTATTCTCTTTTCTCAAAGGAAAATATTTTGTTAGCCTACCGACATTCAGCACATACCTCTGTGATCACTCTCATACCAAGCAAAATGTAATTTGCATTTCTTTTGCAGATCGCGAGTCTTGATAACAAACTTCAAAGCCTAGAGCAGGTAAGTAGATGGGAACCAAACTAGACACCGGAAAAGAAAGTCCTAGCTCTAAATAAATAAAGTGAGGTTTCAATGATTAAGTAGCTAAATGATTTCTTTCCTCTCATGCGTTCCTCAGGAAAACTTTTTTGGTAGCAGAAGGTAAAAAAATAAAAGTCAAGATTTGTGGAGGAGGTGAAATAACTTCTTAGAAAATATAAACTGTAGGAGCTTGCATTTCTTAAAGGACAAACAGTTTTACACTCAAAAACCACAACTAGGTATGAAGGAGAAGTAAACTCTTCCTTCACTGGTCTGTCAAGATGAAGACCAGAAAATTCAGACTGGATTTTATATTTTACTGGAAGTAGTTAATTTTCAACTGTCACCTGCTTCTCCAGTGAGCTTGTGAGAAACCACACCCACAGGTGCCAATAAACACAGTTGTTAGAAGAGTCACCCATGGAATCAAAAAGACAAGATAACCCTTCATCTAGATCTGTAGTCTGCTGCTGAAGAACAGTCCCAATTAATATTTACTTTTTACAAGGCTTTTCTCATCCTAACACTTGCAGATGGACATTCTGTGTATGACCAATCACAGTGTCATTGTGTTGTACAGGGATGAGTGAAACAGCTCCAAACCTTTACAAATTGACCTTGTTTAAAACAATAATTTAAAAAATAAAGGAAGGGGGTGATTCAGGGAAAAATGTTTTAAAAAAAAAAAAGGGGTTGTCTTGAAAATAAATGCTAATGTAACCCCAGCTAGGCAGTAACCTCATTTTCTGCTCTTTTCCTGGGTTTCAGGCCATCCAGAGCAGAGCCTGTAGTAGTAACCCCTGTCAGAACTCAGGGACCTGTGTAAATTCCTTGGATGGTTTCTTTTGTCTCTGTCCCAGCAACTGGCAGGTGAGTTTTTAGCCTCCTTGAATACAAGGTATGTATTTTAACTGTAAAGCTACACCTACTGTAATTGTGAATTTTAAGGTTGCTCAGGATAGGGTGAGATATACTGAGCAGCAAAGCAGCAGTATCACTCATTGTTTGGTTGGAGACCAACACATTTGCTTCTCAAAAATATCAATATTTGGAAAAAAAAGAAGCCCAAACCAGTGGGGCAGACCCTGCACTGTTATACAGAGGCGATGGCCCATGAAGTCAGTGATGCTTGGCTGTTCCCATAGTAGAGAATTAGTCTCTGTTTTCTGCTGAGCAGTGAACTGAACTGCATGCCTTGCTGTTGACCTTACACAAGGATAGAGAATGGGGGAAGGGATGGATACTTTTTCAGTCTCAAAGAAGTAAGACAAATAGGGGTGTAAGTAATCAATCCCATTCTGAGGATTTTAAATCCAGAGACTTTACTGGAAAAGGTTTTAATGGTGCTGTTAAATGCACTAGAGATGGAAAAGTTTTATCTTCTTCTCAAAGACTCTCAATATGAAAGATATCCCAGCAAGATTTGGGTCAAAATTGATGTGTTTTCAGTTGTAATAAAACAACATCTCATGATAGAAACAGTTTGAAAGAAAGTTTCCTGAGCCTTTTGCTACTTGGAAGGTAGGGGGGATGACAGTAAAGTGCTCTTCATATTCTTTCTACATCTGAAATATTTTATCCCCATCTGACTGATAAGGAGGGTCACAGAAGCACAGCTGAAAAATAAAGTTTTGTTATTATGTTTCATAAGGGAAGCTGTGTTGATAACAGTCCATGGTTTGTGTATCTTTGAAAACTATTAAACATTGGCTCTATGGTTTGCTTCATTTCTCAGTTATTTGGAAAATAAACTGGTTTTCCATTTCGTCTTAGGGCCTCCTGTGCTCAGTGGATGTTAATGAATGCCAGACTTTTGCTGGAACAGCATTGGTCTGCCAAAATGGAGCCACTTGTGTTAACACACCAGGCAGCTACAGGTAACTTCTCAAAACTAGATACAAAAATCCTGTGGAGAATACAATTTTTGTGCCCTGTATCATACCTGCAGCACAAATTCTAGGAATAAGTCTGTTTAATATCTGTGCACTATAATCCCTTGTAGCCTGAGAAAATATAAAATCCTTAATACACTATACCCCAAGCCCACTGCAGGCACAGAAGGCCCTCCAAAGCCATTGCCTGCTTTGACACCAGAAGGGCAGCAGGAACCAGACCCATCACACAACCATGCTGGTGGAGAAGACTGAAAATTGGAGACTGGCTCCAGTAACCCAGCCCCCACTGCATGTGCAGATGCTTTAATGGAAATTTAATGCACCATGAGATGTAGCTGAGGCAGTGAGGTATAGTGTGCTGGTCTGCAAGCAGCACTCACCAACACAGCCACCCACATTACTATCCCTCTGTTATCACCTACCCCACTCAATGGGAGCGAGGAGATGAAGGAGGTGAACAGTTTGGGCCCAGCAAAGGCTCTGAGTTGTTGGAAACCTCCAGAATATATGGCCAGTCTTGATCACTGGCATTCTCAGCACACCAGATAACTCTGAGAAATGCCTTCACCTCCTTCAGAAATACAGGCACTGCTGAGACAGCAGCAGAGTAAGGAATGCACAGTGCTGCCAGGCAGAAAGGGAGGAGAAATGGTGTCTTCAGCTGGCTGGCCAAGAGGATGCTTGGGGTCCCTGTGTGTGGGGCACATAGACAAGGCCCCTGGATCATATCCTTCTCTCACTGTGCCCAGCTCCTTAGCAAACATGAGCTTGCTTACAGGGCAAGCCAGCCTGAACATTCTGTGTCTTATTTTCCAAAATGTCAAGTAATCTGGTAAATAAATAAATCTCAGATATAATACAAAGCTATCCCTATGCAATGGGAACAAACAGGCTGGAGAGCATGCCACAGCTTTCTGCAAAGCATTTTGTCTTCTGCTTCGGCATGAAAATCGTAGCCCCCACAAATATCTGCTTAGTGTAACACTGGCTTGTAGTGCTTTGTCACTTCTTGGAAGAGCCTCACACAAAGGAAGTTCTCCAGCAGTGCTCCTCACGCTTCAGCATTAACACAGAGCCTGCTGAGGTGTTGCTGGTACATGATGCTTCCTGTAAGCTTTTCTTTGATTCTAAAGGACGTTTCTAGCTTGTCTGCAGCTGTCCCCAACACAGATATTTGTCAGGGAAATAACACGCAAAGCAGCCTGCCTTTATTTCTTTCTTACTGTGCTCAGAGAAGTGGTGTAGGGGTGTGTGACTAAATTAAGGTTTGAGAGGACAAACTCTCCGTCTTGTGTTGGTACAGTCATAATTGCTGGAAGTTTCTTCCCCAGTGTAATTCTTCTCCTCCTTGGTACTTGCTGCCTCAGTGCTTCATTGTACTGTCTTCAGCCTCCCTTCATGTACTGTCTTACTTATTTCTGAGTGCTTCCCAGATGCTAAATCCATCCCCAAGTATAGTGTGACATGTCTTTTTTCAACAACTGTGAGAACATTGCCATTTAGCTTTCTGGGACCCAGCAACCCAGGTCAGCCCTATCCTGCTCTGTGTAGTTATATACCCCAGCTTGAACTGCAGGTAAAGAAAAGGGCAATGTTTCACTTTCCATAGCCCCCAGAGATAACACCAGGTGACAGGCAGTACTGAATTAGGCAGCATGAAATGGAGCATAATGCAATCCTCACTCCCTGTTCAGCTTCTTTACCTTCATGCTTCAAGCTGTAACTCAGAAAAGCACTGAATTATGAGGAAAAAGAGCAGGGGTCCAGGAAACACCTTCCTGAATCAGAACCTTAAGGGGACATTGCATCAGCTGGATGAAAGGCTGTAAGAGTCCCCAAATCTTGTGTGTCACAAGCAAAATGACAGGGGCCTCATCACAACATGCCACCAGCCATGTGAGAGAACCAGGGCAGTGCTGAGCAGCAGTGCATCACAGTTTGGCTGAAGCTCCTTGCAGTGTGACCTACTTCTTGCAGCTGTTCTCTGAGAAACTTTAGATGGGTAGCAGATTAATTTTTGCCAGACTAGGCAGGAGACAGTGCCATTGTCCTCCTCCTATGAAGACAGTCAGACTGCCTTGCTGTGTCTTCTGGAGTTGAACATGAAGGTCTGAATTTACTTTGAACATAAAAACGTAATCTGGTTTCCTGACCCATTGCCTCTGTGCTTGCCCAGTCTGAGCTGCTGCACTGATGAGATGGTGTAGGTCTGTCTGCTGCCTTACAATACTGAACATGATGTCTTACAGTACTGCAGACTGCAGTTAAGCATTAAACTGTTGTGGGTTTTTGAAGCCTTAAGTTCATGTGGCTTGCATGTCCTGGGTGCAGTGTTTAGTTACTGGCAATTGGCTTATCAAACTGCTATTTCAACTGAGCATGTGACATGGTGGCAGAGATGGTAGCAGCTTATTGTATATAAATTGCTCCAAGGTCCAGCCAGCTGCAATACCCTGATTCAAATTCTGCAGAGAAATGCTTTTACAGAGTATATTCATTAGGCATCTTAGAATCAATCAAGGAAGGGTGTGTACCTGACATGTGGCTCTGTGAGATGCAGACATCACAGCATAAAGCTTGTATCCAAATGAGTCTCACTGTTTTAGTAAGAAGCTAGTGATCTGATAGGAGGTTTTCTGCAGGTTTCTTTATCTTCAGTTGTATTACAGAGCCTCATGTTTGGTCTGTGTGGAAGTAAAGAGCCAGAGAAAAGGGAAATGTTACCTAATGATTTAGAAGTTCTCAATTTCATTTCCACCATGTATGTCCAGTGCTGTACCTAAGGGTTGCCCTAAAAAGATGTGGTGCATCTGTCAGCTTGCAAGCCAGATCCTCCCTGTAGAATGCCTTTCTTCACCCACTACTTTGCTCTTCCCACCCCATCAGCCCCAAATGCCATCTCTTACTCACCACACTTACCTAAAAGCTAAGCTGCTGCTGAGACAGCAGCTGCCCCTTGTTGTGGTGTGGATGTAAAGGTACTCTGCTCTCTGGGACAGGTCAGACCTGGTATTTCTGCATATTGCTAGAGGTAGGATTTTGGGCACTTGGCATCATAAGAGGGTCATAAATGGAAACAGAAAGTTTAGGTGCTCTTTGACTGAAATGAGTTTTTCCAGGCTCATATTCTCTTGAAATCTCAGGTTAGATATTTCTTTTTTTCTGGGTTTCCACTTATGATGTAACAAAGGGCTGCAGGGCCAGTCATGGATATACACAAGTCCCACTTGATTCCTGAATCTCTGCTGAACAGGACACTTGCTTCTGTGTACGATTAGTAATGGGATTGTCAATACAGCTAAATAGATGGATTTCATAAGGAATATCCCATAATATGGAGAATAATTTCTTATTATGGCAATATATGATCTTTAACAGCTATAGAAAGACAAAATTTTGATTTTTCTGCCCACTTTCACCATTAGCTGCTCCTGTACTCCAGACACCTACGGGCCTCACTGTGCCTCGAAGTTTGATGACTGCCAGGAAGGATCTGAGACTCTCTGTGTGCATGGCCTCTGCATAGATGAAGAAAGGGATCAACACAACAGGGTAAGGAACAACATCTAGGCCTCATTATACAGCACAGTATGAAGAAGCTACAAATAATGCTGAGCATCACAAAACTGTGTAGCCCACACTGCTGATGAAGAACAGCAAGAAATGCCACTGTGTGACATAATATAACCTCTCTGTTTTCCCAAGGATAGCAGAAAAATAAAAAATGTCTTGTGTCTTGTTAGAGGTACTTTCCACAGGATTAAATCTAGTACTACATCCACAGGGAGCTTGGAGCTTCTCCAAAAAAGTGAAAGTCTTATTTGAAATATTATATTCTTGCTGTTCATTATTTGGGGAGTTCTAAGTTGCTAGAATATTTCAGTACCTAAAGGATTATGAAGGACAAACACCACGAACCTTATTTTTTTCTGGGAAAAGGTGTATCAGTCAAACATGGCAACTGAGTGATTGCTGCTCATATTTGGTGCTCCTCACTGTCAGTAGGACGTGGTCTCTGACACCATGCCCAAGCTTTCCAAGTGTGTGCACTGAGTGGATGCTAGCACACACTTGAATGCTCTTCTGGATCAAGCCAGCTCATTCATTTGGGAGGGAATCCAGGTACAGGGTGTTCACTTCAAAGGGACAGATGGAACATGCCAGCCTTGGCTCTTTCCACTGAGAGGACTCCTCCAAAACTACACAGCCCAGCCTGTGCTCCTTAATACTCCTATACACCCATGTACCATTCCAGTCACACCACATATTTTTTGTGCTATGTTATAAAATAATTTCATTGCTCAATTTGTAGATGTTTCACAACTCGTCACTTGTTTTCTGCTCCATTTTGTGGAGAAAGCTTTTCAAAAGGGTTCAGTGTTGGCTTAACTGTGTCTGCTCATGTGACAGTCAACAATAAAGCTCCCATTAACTTTAATTGGACCAAAACTGGATAGATGCTGAAATCTGGCCATTAGTAAAGTTTACTAGAGAGAAAATTGTTTTCCCAAAAGAAAATGTTTATTTCCTATTTAATGTCAGTGCTGCACATTGCATAGATTACTGAAAAGTTTGATTAAAAGAAAACAGCTAAGCTTATTTCAGGTTGCTACACTGATCTGTTTACCCTGGTTAAAAAGCAAGATGATGAGTTTTAATTATGTTTATGTACAGCTCATAATTGCATTTCATTTCCTCTGGGAGCTTTGGGGTAAACTACAGATTTCTTTTATAAACCCAATGTATGAGCCTAAGTTATCTAAATAGGTAAATTCAGAGGAAGAAACAGACTGAGAAAACTACCAAAGGAACTTATAAAACAGAATGTGCAATCCATGTGATGCTTTGAAACTTTTTTTGCTGTAGTTTAAAAGATGATTTATAAAATGAGCTCTTCCTGCCTTTTTCTTGGCTATTCTAAATGTCTTAAATATTATTTTTTTAAATGTGATTTTTTTTTCTGTGGCAGCCCAAGTACCGCTGTATCTGTGACGCTGGCTGGATGTCTCCTCCTGGCAGCCCTGCCTGCACTGCTGATATAAATGAATGCAGCCTCCCTAATTACCCATGTTCACAGGATCCACATGTGCAGTGCTACAACACTCTAGGCTCCTACTCATGTGGTCCCTGCCCCTCAGGTATCACATCTTTCCACACTCTCAGGTGGGAGGGGGTGGCAGTAGGTGCTACTGCCTGTGTGCCATAAGTACACAGAATTCAGATGAGAGCAACTCCGTTAAATGCTTTGGTCTATATTCTAGAGAATAAGTACCTGCAGCTCATGACTTATCTAGATAACACAGGCACTGGAGTCTAATGCATGATTTATCCCATCCTAAACTAAGGATCTAAAGAGGTCTGATGTACCTTTATGTTCACAGGTATCTTCATGTCCATCATGTCCTATCACCTTCATGTAATAAATACGTCTGCAGTACTTTTATATCCTTATACTTACTGCCCTAAGGCAATATAAAACTCTGATTGTCCCCTCAAGTCATATAACCTATGATTCCTCTTCCTGAGTTGGGCAAGTGGTGTCTATGGGAGGAGTCTTTGAAAAATTTAACTGTAGTTACAATAAAGCTTTGCTACAAATTGTAGGTACGTGAACTAGATCAGAACTGCCTCCTCTTTAGGTAAAACTGCATTTGATTCTGGAATATCCTGAATACAGTTAAAATGAAACATTCTTGCACACACATCTCCACCCTGTTGTGTTTGTAACCTTTTTGGCAGATCAGTATTCATTTTTATCAGTTATGAGAAGGACAGGTCTTCTCGTGTGTTAATGAAGTGAAATTCAGAAGTTGTATTTTTGTGCTCTATAAAAAGATTTAGTCAGAGAAGAAAATGGAAAGGCATTTTCTATTTTAATGTCTTTTCTCTGATGCTTTTTAGGCTGGCAAGGAAATGGCTTCACTTGCCGAGACATTGATGAGTGTGCAAGCAATAATGGAGGCTGCTCAACAGCACCAATGGTTCAATGCATCAACACGATGGGATCCTTCCGCTGTGGGCTCTGTCCACCAGGTGAAATGGATTTCTTGTTGATAAACCTATGGAAGGGCTTAAAATATGAGTATATTTTCTGTTAGATTTAAAGTGCTGAAAATTGGTTTTATAGAAAGAAGTATCACATACACAATGCATTACTGTAATACAGAATGCAGATTCCAAGTATATTCAAACTGCTTCAGCTATTAATGAATATTTTATAGAGTATATCTCTAATGATGATCCTCTCAGATGTGTTTCTCTTGTAGCCCTTTCCAGTGTTAGAGCCTTGATTTGATGAAGTACTTACTTTACAAGATCATTAATGGGAAACAAGGATTGCATAATTATGATAGTAATTTCATTGTCTGTATTAATTGAAAGAGTATCCTCTGTGTCATAAATCAGCTGGTTTGTCTGTCATAAAAAGAAAGCCTTGATAATTGTCACGCTCTGAATGCTCTAAGGAGGCAGCGTTTCCATCGCAGTACAGGTCAAGCAATGGAAGTTGTGACTTACGTCCTTATAATCTGTGGTTTATGATTTAAAATGCTTTCTGAAATGCATGCTATTGATACGGGAAATACTATCAGGAAAATGTCATTCTAATTGACCTTTTGATTGCTATTTAAATGGCAGTAGACTGTAGGTAGTGAAGGCTCTCAGTCACTGAGCGCTGAAGGGCTATCACCAGGCTAGGAATGTGGACTCAGACAAGTTGTGTTTACACCAACTCTGGACATGCAAAGTCGTGCTGCAGTGCTTTGGTCCTACTGAACATTCTGAGAGGAGCTGGATGTTGTGTCTGAGACCCACGGGCAGCTCTACTGTGCAGCATGAAGCCTGCATGTCATTGGGGCTGGCTGGGTGCAGATGTATGGGGAGGGCAGCACATGGTGGCTGAGAGACATGGGCTTCTATGGCCTCATTGACCTCACCCATATTTGACAAACACTAATATACCTTTTGTTTTCTACAGCCATGGGAGGATTTATTTACTATCAAAATCCATCCCTGCAATACAGAAACTGCAGTAAATCTGCCAGGTTTTACATCAGTGGCTATCTAAACTTTTTCTTTTTAACTGTAGAAGACTATGATTTTTCACCATAAATTAGCATTCTGCTTGCCAGTTGATTATTTTGCTGCTGATTCTCAGAGAACATAGTTTGTTACAGACTAACTGAGATTTACCTCTGAACAGGTTATGAGGGAGATGGACAAACATGTACCCAGGTTGATATCTGCTCAATAAATAACGGAGGGTGCCATCCTTTGGCCACTTGTACCTCAGCTCCAGGTATGATGCTTTCTTAAGGACTGCAAGTGTGAATCTCAAGGAGGGTTTGCTTAGACTGAATTCACTTTGTATCAACATATCTAGATTGCAGCCCCTTCTCCACAGTCATTTTTGCCTCACCCAAAGGACTTTACAGGCAGATAAGCTAAAGCTAGAAGGTCTTTCCACAAACACTGACAGATTTAGGCTCCACCAAAGAGCAGACTTCGTACTAAAAATGTGGAGACCTCCACCATTTTTCTTTGATGCAATTTTCCAATTATACAGCTGCTTTTACTGTTCCCCTTTCCATAAATACCCTTTGACCTTGAACTTTCAGGTACCCATAGCAAAACAACACTAGGGATCTTTCCATGATCAGACTGGGCGCTGACCAGAGGAAGTGTCAAAAGATCAAATAAATTAGAATTATATAAAGATTCTGCTTCAAAACATCAAGGATGTATAACGGTCATAGGTATTGTCATTGTAACAGGGACTGAATTACCTTCTGTATCTTGCCTTATCTCCCAAGGGCCAATGCCATTTTGTTCCTGCCCATCTGGGTACACTGGAAGTGGATATGGGCCAAATGGGTGCTCTCCTCTCAGTGATATCTGCCAGCTGCAAAACCCTTGTGCAAACGGGCAGTGCTTGGTAAGTGCTGTGCTACTCACAGTTAGTGACAACATTGTGTAGTTATAACTGGTAATGTCAGGGAGACTGGTGAGACTGAAAGCTGAGTGCAGACATAGTAATGGTGGTGAGGCAACATCAGAGGGGAGTGTGAGATCAGTGGACATACCTGGGGAAAACTAAGTGAGTTCCAGGGCACACAAGCCATTTCTTTGTGTGTGAAGTAGAGGCAACTATCTTGGAACTAATGACCTGAGAGGTTATAGCTGGTATTCCAGGCTACTGATGGAATGTTGGGTAGAACTGATAAATGACTGTTCCTCCTGGGACAGGGAAGTAATTTACCACCCTAGATCATGGAGAAATTACCCATAGTAGCAGAACCAGTACCTCCACTGACCTTCAGAAGGTTAGTATCCAGTATAGCTTATTATGTGTTCCTAGGCTGATCTCTTGAGAGCACCCCCGGAGTCTCAGGCTGTTTATATGGATATGGAAAGGGTCCTTCCAAGGAATTGATTGCACCCCTGCTGGTAATTGAGTGTTTTGGACCTTAGCTGATTGGTGGTGTGAATTCATTCCCATGCACAGCAACAATTGAATTTATCCAGATGGATCCTGTGAAGGCTTTTTTGGCTTCCTCAGTGGAGTGTGCTATGCCCAGGGAATGCTGCAGACCTGGAGATTTTAGTAATTCTGTTGTTGAGGATATTTATGATGATGATTTTGGAGAAATGTTCACAAATGCTAAATTTGTTGTTCCAGTAGAGTCTTGTCCCATTGTTTCACCTTGGTCTGTGTATATCTTCCTTTTGATTGTCCTTGGTGGCACGGGGAAAATGGGACATATAGATAAGGATATGGATTTTGCAGTGTTAGGTTAACAGCTGGATTTGATGACCTTAAGGGCCTTTTCAACCTAAATGTTTCCATGATTCTATGGTATCTTACATTTCCCTTTTTCCATTTTCTCTGTGAAATGTGATGATCCTCTCACCTCCATTCCACTCCTTACCAGCATTCCTCAGTCTCTCCTCTGTAGATACCTATTGTGTCTTCACTCAGATATGGGCACAAAAGGCCCTTTAGATATCTAGTCTACTTTTTATGACTATTTAGAAACCATTCATTTAAGTCGGTCTGTTAAGAGATATGGCATCTTTCCTTAAATACATCCTAACATACAGCACCAGGCAATCATGGCTACAAACTACTACCTAAAGAAAATTACAGTCAGATACTTTATTAATTGGACTACAGAAGCATCTAATAAAATAGAGGAATAGCAGAGCTGTATTTGGCCAGCAGAATGACAGAGGAAATGTAATGTTAATTAAATATCAGACAACACAGATCAGAAAACACCTTTTCACCTTCTAAAGCAACATTCGGAGCCCTAAATACACATCAAAATCCTCTTCCATCATACTGAAGATCTCTGCTTGGGAGACAGAGGACATGAACAGAGAATGCAAAAGGAAATAGAGAATGTAGTACATTGATTATATGTCATCAAAGATGGGATTGTAGTGTGTGCCTTGGAATACCATTTCTGCTTGACCTGTAAAGATTGGGTCTATAAAACAAGAAATATAAGGTAAGAGAACATATGAAATTAAAACAGTTAGAGATATGGAAAGACTTGATTACAAGGAGAAATAGAAAAGGTTGAGGCAACAGAAATGGAAACGAGACATACAGAATAAGGGATAATGCCAAAAAGGCAATGAAATTGTTCCTATTTGACATTCCTCAGGATCAAAATGAAAGTTAACAGCCCATGTAACTGCAGTACAGACTTCCCAGAGAAAGGGCTTGAGAGAAATGATTCATAAACCAGTTATCTTGACTTGCTATTTATAAGATTTTGATAATATGATTGACTTGGTTCTAAAGTGATCATTCCAAACCCACAAAAACAGTTTTCTGAATGGTTAAATAAATACAGATTTTGACTTTTTAGAAAGTAATTTGAAAGAGCCCTGCAAAGAAATAATAGTAAAAAAATGAAGCACTAGATAATCTGATTAGGCTTTAGGTTTATTTTGGTATTCACCAGTGACCATCAAGGCCAATAAATTTCAAAGGTTTTATTTCTTTCCTCCAATATATCCTTATAAAATAAGTGTCAATATCAGTCTTTCTGCTGACTACATTTATTCCTGTAGGTGATTCATGCTCAATAAGCTTATTTGATATTTTTATACCTGTAGGCCACAATCTCTGGATATTTCTGCCTGTGTAATGCAGGCTGGACAGGCCCTAATTGTACGGAGAACATTGACGAATGCATTAGCAACCCATGCCAAAATGGGGGGACCTGCATTGATGGGGTCAACAGCTACTCCTGCGAGTGCACCAGTGCCTGGACAGGACCACAGTGCCAGACTGCCCAGCAAGGTACAGCCAGGACCTCCTCCCCAGGAGAAATGGGACACCAGGCTTCAGAGAGTAGATGCTTGGTGTACAGGATTAATATGTGAATAAGGACCAAGTTATGATGGGAAAAACAGTGGTGGATTACAGGTCCCAATCCAATTTCCCTTGAAGTCAGAGTTTTCCATGAGTTTTGTATATAGCTGCCTTGTTTAGCAGTAGGATCACACCAATGAAATGGATCTGCAGGCCCACTGGCCTTGGCTTGACACCAGATATCCTAAAATTGGATCTCTGTTCTTGAGAATGTGGTCTGGTAAACTGGTTGGGAAAGAGGATCAAGTATAAGGAGAACAAGAACATATATTGATGTTTCTCTTTTGTGCATACTGTTTAATTTGTTGTGAAGCTGAAAGGTCCTGACATTTTTAGTCACATGGGAAAAGCAGAAAATGTTTTCAAAGAGAAATTTAACAGAAGAAATATTAACCATGAAAATGGAGGACTTTTAGTTTCATAGAGTGACTGCAAGCTACTGCCTTTAACATTTCTTCTTAATATCACTTTTTCTGTTTGTTTGGAATATTTTTGCCATTAATTTTAGTTAACTAGGGTCAGGATAGCATTCCAGTGAGTGTCGCTGGGGCAACAGGGATGGCTTGTTTTTATTGCAAGCTCCTGTGAAGAAAGGAGATTAAATTTTCAGAGAATACATAATGTAAAACTTCCACTGATCTCCTGTGAAATCTGCATCGTTTTAGAGCTACTTCAGGCTCTTTCCCATTTGCCTTAAGGATCTCACCAGTAATGCTTTATTATTAAGTCCACATGGGAAAAAAATTATTTTTAACCATCCATAATGAAGGGATAAAAAACCAGTTTTTATCCAATGAGAAATCTTAATGTACCAACTGTTCTTTTAGTTTCTAATCAAGGAAAAAAATAATATATTCTATGACATGATAACTTTGATTCTGGTTGACAAACGGTGAAATGTTTTAGATGGACACTTAAAACAAAATTCCATTCCATTTCCCACTTCTTGAAACAAAACAGTTTGCTGAGAATTTACTATTTCTTTAGCATCAGTTCAATGTTAAACTACAGCTGCTTGTTGTACACTGTGGCTATATGTGCATTGTATTTTGGCTGCTTTATAGACATATTTTTCTGTAGCTGTTTGGGATTCCCAGTTCTCAGCTCCTATGCTTTGAATTTTCCAGTGAGAGAAGAGACCATGATATATCATGAGAGGTATTATCAGGCCTAGGAAACTGACTAAAAATAATAAATTGGACAATAAAACATCTTAAGGATAGCTATGATGTACCACTACTGAGAAAGACAATTTTGCATCATGTTAGCTTCAAAATGTTATTTCATCATAAGGGAAAATTTAAATTTTTGATCTGGAGGTAGCCTTCTGGAAAGTGAAGGAGTTTATGGACACTGTCCTGAGACAGAATCAGCATCATTTGGCAGTATCCACATACTCCAGCTGAAATTATTTGTCCTTTTTTTCCAGGAACTACTTTTTCACAGGGAATTTGCTCTTTTTTTTTGAAATGCCATTCCACATTAGAGGAAATGCTGAAGAGTCTTTTATAGAAGTATCTTTCACCTTCATTTTAAATGTTTAAGAAGTCAAAGCTGTGCTAGAAAGTTAGACCTTGTTCAAGTCTGCATTGTGATAGCACAAATTAACCTTTTTAACTTTCTATCTTTTTCTGCAGTTTGTGGAGGATACCTCTCAGGCTCCAGGGGGACTTTCAGTTACCCTAACAACCCCAACAGCCAGCAGTACAGCAGTGGGGTCAGCTGTGCTTGGGTTGTTCAAACTAATCCCAACAAGGTAAAATAGAGCAAAACCCTCACTCTGCAGGACTTCTCAGCTCAAATGTGGGGCAAGTCTGAGCAAATGTGACTATCTTCATGCCACATGTTCGAATAAATAGTTTTTCAAAAGAATAAGTTTCAGATCCTCACAAGCCTCCAGACTCCTTAGTCTAAGAATTTGCTTGGGTTAAATTTTCTAGGTTTTTCATATGCAGCTGTCGATTAGAGTTTATTCACCTACCTCCAGCTAGAGAAGATACGTGTCCCACATTGCTTTAGAATGTGAGCTGTGAATAGCTGCATGAGAAAAGCTCTGCCCTGATGGGCTCCATAAGTGGTTCATGACCTAAGTGACCCCTGAACAATTTCATGTTTCTGATTTCTGAGTGCCAGAAATGTGGAATGCTGAATTCATATTGTCAATGGCTTTGTGTAATAATTTGATATTTTTAAGGATTAATTTAAAAAGTAATTTTAAAGGTATTTAAAATGAAACTTTAAATGTATTCCTTAACTTTTTTTAAAATGTATATTCTAATTCAGATTTGCAACCAACAATTCCACTTGTATTATAAATAACAGCTACAAAATATGTTACTTCTCACTTCAACATAGAAGTTCTTCTATTTTTGACATATTGTGGAATGAACTAAGTAGTTTTATAAAAGAGTGTTTGATAGTGGTTTATACAGCATTACATATATATATATATGTATCTGGCATATCCTCAACTTTAAGCCTGGGAGCCACTACTGTCTTCAGCAGAGCATATTAAAGAACATCAGTGAAGAATCTGAACAAACTTAAAGCTGTGTTTTCACTAAGTAACCAAAGTAGGCTTATGAGACACTGATGTTATACATGCAAAAATGGATATTTTAATCTTTTAACTCCCATGACAATACTTTCAACCACAGCAAGAATGAGAAACACTATCTGATAAGAAAACTGCCATGGGAAACCTGGAATAAAGTATTTTACACTGTATTTCATGCCTTTCACATGACTTGAAATATCTACATATGTATTTCACACATATGACACATACAGGCAAATGGTCTCAATTATTATTTTATAGAAAGAATGCTCTTTCCAGAAAATGTCACTGTGTAAATATTCATATCTATCTGTGTCTATCTATCCATGTATCTATCTGTCTATGCATCTATCTGTCTCTCTCTTTCTCTCTCTCTCTCTCTCTATCTTTTCCCTTTCCTTTTGACACATAAGATTCTTTAATATCTTCTGTGTTTGAACTGTGTTTGAACTTTTCAGAGCATGGCATAATGGCTCTAAAGATCATAGATTCTCACAGTTGCATGAACACATATGTCTGCTTTATACAGTTTCTGCATAAACAGTGTCTCAGCAGATGGAAAAAAACAGATTTCTTGTTTTCTTGTATTAGATTCTGCATGTTACTTTCCCATTTTTCCAACTGGAGGCAAGCAATGAGTGTAACTCTGACTTCCTTCAAATCCATGATGGGCCTTCAGCATCAACACACATGCTGGGAAAATACTGTGGCTCCTCAGCTCCTGCAGAGCTTTTCAGTTCTCACAACTCTCTGTATTTTTGGTTGTACTCAAACCACACCATTACAACTGGAGGTTTTACTGTTCATTGGGAATCTCGGGATCCTGGTAAGTTTGATGAAATGTCAAGTAATTTAGCATCTTTGTGGCTTTGGTGCACAATGAATGACTTGTTTCCTCTGGTTAGGAAACAACAGGAGCAGAAAGTCAATATTTTACAAGGGAGTGAGGCTGAAATGTAGACACATATGTCACTTTGAAATATTTAAAACTCCAGCTTTAGTTCTCTGCATGAATAGCTTTCTGCTGTTTTTTCAAGGCTGTTTTACACCTCTTGTTAGGAATGCCCCAAAGAGCATGTGTTCCTGGAGATGCTGTTCTTCTGATCAGTTCTCTTTCCTCACAGAAGTATCTTGTACTTCGAGCAGACAAGTTGATTTTGTTTGCCACTGACAATTTACAACATGCTAAAGAGTCTGAACCATGCTTTCCAAACATGATAGATTGTTGGGAATTTGATTTTAAAGTGTGTGTGAGCTTTTTGTATGATGTATCTGCCAGAATTCTTGGTAATGCCACTTGGGTGATTCCTCCAGGTGGTGTGGCAGAGCATTTCTAGAGTTAAACTCCAAACCATCTTGTCTAACATCAAGCTCATGTCAATGTTCTGTATATTACCTAGGAACAAAATACTGCATTGGGTTGTGTCTTGAAAGAACCATAGAGTAAAAAAATACAGAAAATTCAGAGAGGGAACAGTTTCCTTATTTCTAGAAATATTTCTTGAAAATCTTTTCATGTGATTTTTGGCGTTTTGCATTTTTTCTTTCAATTGCCATTATTAGATAGATAATTACTAATTGACAAATATGGATACTGAAAGGTGAAAGCAGTTCTTTTTTGAGAAAAAAACCCCAACAATAAAAAAGCAAAGAGGGAGAGCAGTAGAGATGTGATTAAATTAGCTATTCCTTAGGTATAACACAGAAGTTATCCCTCCCATTCTTAACTGTTGCACTGAGATGGATGTTGTTTTATTACAGGTATATAAAACAACCTTAGCTGTAATTAACTTTTTCTTTTTTTTGTGTTTTAAATGAAAACAATCTTGTGCTAGGATTAAAAAAAAGGGGGAACTATTTATGAAGTACAGATAGTCAGATTAATTTTGTAAATTTGATCCAAACAGTGCTTCTGACCATTCTCCTTAATGCATTCTTGTCACAACTGGGAAAGAATCTTTCTTTCACTGTGCAAATGAGCAAATATTTGAAGTTCTGCTTTTAAAATTGAGTTACAGAATGAATTGTAATCTTTAAAAAAAAAAGTAATTTTCTTGTTTGCTTGGATTGAGCTTTGTTTTTTAAAATTTATACTGGACCCCAAAGTGTTACCTAATTTTGAGACTACTGGACAATTCATCTCATGACCTGACATGTGGTGTTAAAAACTGTGTTCTTCCATGTCTTTTTTGTTAGAATGTGGTGGTCAGCTGACAGGTACTTATGGCTCAATAAGCTCTCCAGGATATCCTGATAACTATCCTGTAAACAGAGATTGTTTCTGGACCATCTCAACCAGTCCTGGCCTCCTCATCACATTTGCTTTTGGCACACTAAGCCTAGAACACCATGAAAACTGCAGCTATGACTATTTAGAGGTAAAGTGTAACTGTGAATCATGACAACATTTGATGACTATGTTACTGCAAAACAAGGTACTTCAAAACTTTTTGTATGTACAGAAGGGGACTGTTGGAAAATTTAATCCTGGGTTGAAATGCTCATTTGTACTTACATATTCTGGCAATCCATGCACAATCAGACACAGGCAGTATAATGGAAAGGCGATGAGATCTTGCTCCACTAAAGTCACTGGAATTCTCATGACTAAAAAGGATGGGATTCATGCCAAGTATCTGGGGGGACATTTTCACTTTCTTACAAAGCTCAGTCTCCAAACTCCTTCTCAAATGTTAACCTCCAGAGAATTCATCAGCCTAAGGGAAATGATTCAGGAAGAGGTCTAAGATTAATAGATTCATATCATAGTACAGTCCATGTGTGAGCTTAGGGCTTTTTGTCAAGTGCAGTGTAATGCTTACAGAATTTACCAATACCTATTCATGGAAATAAGAAGCTGGTTCTGACTAGCATGTTCTCCAAAGCTATGCAATGCAGA